GTCAGTCTCTGTTCAGTGACATGCCTCTTCATAAAGGCAAGGGCTGGACTGAACTTATGAGCAATATGTACTTTATGTACATACTTACAGGGCACCTATAGCTGTCCCTCTCTCTCCCCACTCCCCCCATCTAGAAATACAACTTTCTTACCCCTGTTTAGATAAAATTTTGCAAGGTTGCACTGGCCATCTGCAAAAGAAATAGAAAAATGTCCAGAGCTGGAGTGGACAAATGAGTGTCAGTACCTCACTTCTACCCAGATAAAGGGAAGGTGGAACTATGGCCCTGCAAACCTGTTTCTAGTAAGACTTGAACTTGGCATCTAAGGTCTAATGATATTGATACTCACCTTTGACACAATGGAACTTTTCTTTAAAACACAGAAATTCTCAAAGGACTGACTGCTTTTTGTTACTGTAATGAGCCAGGATGTATTTCACGGCCATAAAGAAAAGATGAAGTTGTAGTCCTGAAGATGGATCATTGCTGTCCACACCAATATCAGATTTTTCTAATAAATAATTATATTTTTAGCTACCAAGGATTTGCAGATTCCATATTTGATTGCCATACTTAGCAGTTGCTTAACGTTTTTGGGTGGGATTTTTTTGTTTTGGGTTTGTTTTGTGGTTTTTTGTTTTTTTTTTTTTTTTTTTTTTTAATTTTAATAGATCATAACTTTTCAAGACTTCAAACTGTAGGGTTCTATTAGGTGTTGCCTAATGAGCTCCTTTATCTTTTCATTCCCAGGACAAGCTCTTTTCCTGCTTCCTAAGAAAGTGGTAGGGTCTGCAACAGTTCTGTAGGCCTTTGCTGATTGTCAAGAAAAATAAAAATACTTCTTGCTCTCACAGAAGTGTTAGACTGAAATAGTGCACTTAACACTGGATACCTCTACCTTGGAAATATAAAGAAACCAGGGTGGGAGTGAAATAAAGACAGAGATTAATGAGGAAAAAAAAATATTCATAAATCACTTTGTACAAGGTGCTTGCTCTCACTAGAGGAGAAAAAAGGGCATTTGAAGGTTGGTGGTGTGATCCACTAAGTTTTCCTACGAAGGTGAGACTTTTGCATAGCTGTCACTGCAGCTGCATTATCTGACAATACATATTCAGAGAGCAACACACATCTCAGGGTACGCAGCAACTGCAATACATGCATAGATAAAGAGGATGCTGAACAGGAAGACTGCAAATCATATTCTTTCTCTCAAACAACATTGAAAAAATTTTATGGAAAATACATCAGCTTTTCTCAGCTGTCTTGCTGATCACATGCAAAGTGTGAGCTATACTGACAGATAACTTTCAAGAATTTTCAACTGCAGATGAAAAGCATAGACTACCAGTGAAGCATTAAATTTATAATGAAAGAACAATGACAACACCAACATTTAAAAACTGAAAACATGGCCCATTAGTTTGATTGTGTTTTTTCTTTTCTTTTTTTTTTTAATTTGCTTAATCAGAAAGAAGTTACATTGTTTTGAAAATTTTCTCTTAAAATATGCATCTTTAAGGATAGACATAGCATCAAAAGTTCCAACCTCCACAAAATAATTTTGAGAAATTTATAAATAACCCAGATAATTTTTACTGGAATGCTCCTGTTAGCCTTGACTGCAGTGTGACCACAAAAACATACTACTGTTCTGAAAACCTTTTGGCAGACCTATGCCTCCACTGTAATTTTCAGGTGCATCTTTCTTTTTATTGCTACTGTATTAAATAGTTTATCATGCATAATTTTCTCTAGAGCTGATATATTTTCCAGTCCTGCTTTATTTCAAGTGAGAGAATTGAGTGAAAGCAGTAGAAAACTGAAAAAAAAAAAAAATCATTTGTGTTTAACCTTGGACCATTTTTCTTTTTTTTGTTTTAATTCTCATTTTCTTGTAAGGAAATATGAAGTCTGACACTTCAATGTTTATCTTTTGCATATAAATGCCTGGGAAACCAATATACAAGTTGAAATGCCAAATGAGAAGTGTTTAAAATAAGAACTGGCTGACTGCTTTCTTTAAAACATAATCTGTTGGTAACAAAAAGTAGTACCACCTTAGGAAATACCATCTATGAAAAGTCTTTGGGTAAATTATTGTAAAACAGTGTGACTCAAATTTGCAAAGACTAAATAAGGAACAGCCTCTATTAACAGTCCATATGGAAACTGAGATAAAAAATATTCTAGAAACATTGTCCACAGCATAAAAGTTTATTAAATTAAACACTAAGGTGGAGGAAGAAGAGGCAAAAAAACCCCAAACCCTAAAACCAATTGGGGGGTGAGTAAGAAAGATTATCAAACTGAAAAAGAAAAGCAAATAGTTACATATTTTAAAAATAATTATAAATAAATAGGCAGCAACCTAGTAAATAATTGACCAAATATGACATACTGCAATACTTGGAAAAATCTCACCCTGTTACTTGATTTTGCCACCAATGAAAAACTATGGAAAATTACTTTGACCATTGATGTTCTAGCCTGCTCTTCTACTTTAGCAGCAGCAGCACTTTAAAGAACCACAACTAAAGAGGAAAATCTAGTTTCTTGAAATAATTTTTATTTCAGTGGCAATGGGCAGATTTCAGTTTTCTGTCACCTACAGATCTGTCCATCTAGTCTGAGATTTTGAAACCCATCATGTTGTACATTCTTACACCTTTGGGCAATGCTTATTTTTCCGTAAGATTTTTCCCCTTTGACTTCTCAATATCAAGACACCTTCCCATCACAGCATCTTGTCTTTCACTAAGAAAAGTGGAAATATAAAATCAAGAAAAAAAGCCTAAAGGAAAACTTCAGATATAAGGTTGAACTATGATTGGAGGCAAAATACTTTCTGTATAATGGCTTTGATAAGACAGTTGTTTTACTAAAGAAGATTCTTCATCTTCAATAAAATAGTTTGTCTTAACGTGGGAAATTCTTACTCTTACTGCCAATTTGGCCAAAATATTTTAATTCCTAAAAGATAACGAAGAGAGCCTGACTCTGCCAGACCTGAAACAGCACCATGCCAAACTTTTCTGAGAGGTGAGCGCAAACCGAGATATCAAAGGCTTCCAAAGCCTAAACCCTGCCTCAGCTGAACAAACAAAATCTATCCAGAGGAAGATTTAAACTTGAGAGACAAGCAAAAGTTAAAATTCAAAACAAAAATTTACCTGTGATTTTCAGGATGAATCATTTTCAGTCTTAATCTCTGTGACTTCCTGATCTGCAGTTACACAGTCCTGTCTGTGCCCCCTGGGAAAGTCCCCTCCACCCCATCAGCTCTGAATCTGGATTTGTGTCTCTTTGCTGTTCTTCCTAGGGTTCTCTCTGTCCTTTCCCACTGCAGGCCTTTTCACTTTCCTCTCCCTCCCCTGTCACATACTGCACCTAGAGCCATTTTGTAGGGTATACATGTTCAGTTCCTTTCAGGCTAAAAACACCCTTGCCCTAGAAGTGACCAGCTGGCAGTCACCTTTTTTTTCTCTGCTGCTTCAACACATCCTCTTAGCATACACATACACTGAGCTGAAAGAGAATTACATGATTTTATCACAAGCCCATTCTTCTCTCGAGCTTTAGATGTATAAGAAAAATAGGAGGAAGAGGTTTTGTGCTTATTTAGTTAATGTCTTTTAAAGAAAACTATTTTGCAGCAAGAACCCCCTGGAGGATTTTTGTTTGTTTGCTTTAGAAATATAGCCTAGTATTTTGGAAATGAAATAACATTTTTCTTAAATCCTGTTCTATAAAAAATACAAGATAAAAGTAACCTGTATTAAGTTGACAGCTAAATCCCTGCATAGGAAACCAAAGATAGTATTTAACCGTCAACTCAATTCCAAAGAGATATACTTAATTACATAAAATTACATTAGACAGTCAGTAAAATGAAATAGATCCCTTGAGAGCTGCTGTACTGTGCTAACATTTGCATCACACTCTTGAAGGCGCAGAATCCAGTTTTCTTAACTGTGAGATTGCTCGTTCCAAAATGTATCCACTTAAACTAAATGTGCATGGTATACATGATGCTGATCATGTAGATGCCATGGGGAAGTTTTCTGTAACTTTCTAAACCAGTAATCTGATGTCTGTGACAATTACATTAGGCAAGTACTCTTGAAAAAGAGGCCTGTTCTTGGAAATTTACCTAAAAATGGACTGATACTGATTTTTTAATGAAAACCTCAATCCTGTTAATATTAAGGCTCAGAAGTAGCTTCATTATCTGTATGCTGAGGTCACTCAAGTTGCTAACAGATGCAGGATTATATAACAGTGTTTACAGATTTCATTTTTGTATTTGTTTAATTTGTCCTTATATGGCATTTATTACTTTTAAAAAACTGATTAATTCTTGGCATAATTTTTATAAACAAAGAGTGACCACATTACAATATCTACATACAGATGAAAGCAAACTTCATAGCTCTTCTAATAAGTGGATCAGACAGTATGGTCAATTTTTCAAAACTACTGTTTTATTTCTTTAGGCCATATATACCACATGTGCTCATGTCCATGGGCTGTGATTTGCAATATGGTTCAGTCTGAGTCATTTTGTAATGCAGAGTCAACTGACTTGCCTTCTGTTTTCCCGTTTCCCTTTTTCCCAGCTTCACTGGACAAATATTTACAATATGTCATGTCTTCATGCCCTGACTTGTTTTCACTAAATATGCTAATGGGATAACTTTAATCAACTTTCAGACTTGAAACAAGTTTCCTATTCCTTAGATTCTTGGTGACATAATAGTTACATGCTCTGACAAAAATATTGTTCAGGTAATGAACCTGAAAAACTTTAGCACAGATTGATATTAATGTCCCATTCAAAATTTATGATTATTAGGGAGAGAATAAAAAAATCTGTTAACAAAAAAAAGACTGAGAGAATTCCAAAAGGTGTTTAATAGGTTGTGTGCTAATGAAGTGAGGCTGACTGGTTTCTGTGCAATTGCTCCCAATAAGCCTTTGAACAAACAAACAAATATACCTTTCTTGAAGAATAAGTTTGTTTTCCTTCTTCCAGAAGTCTTTGAAGTCAGAACTGAATTCATGCCAAATACTGAAGAAAGAATGTGGGGACACCTCCTTCTCTCCCATTTTTGGTTTCATACAGAAATAGGCTGCCATTTCCAAAAAGCTGTCAAAGAAAGCAAAAATGACGAATGTTTCAGTACCCACAGATGCTTTTTTTTTTTCTTACTTAGTGCTGACATAGTACTTAATTATTCTTGGTAGCAGATCTAAAATTAAAGAATATCAAAACATAACAGTTGAGCTCTTTGTATACATATATAGATACACAATATAAATAAGATGATTATTCAGCAAAGCTGGGATCTGGCATTTATCATAGGTTCTGGTTTTGACCAAAGTATTTTCCATTTCAAAAGCGAAAATGAAAAGCGACTGTCCACAGCCCTGCAAATCCAGATGTCCACACCTGCCCATGTACTGCATTTCTGTTGTGTTCAAAGCTGTTTTCAAAACAGAGTCAAAGCCTACAAATGAAACAAAGTTCTTCAAGTTCTGTTAGATCTATGCTATGACACAATAGGGTAGATAGCTTAGATTGAAGCCTACACAGAAATGTTAAAACTCAAACCTGCTGTATATTAAACAAGAAATGACACAACAGAAAACTGGGCCAGGAGCAATTGTGCTAGAAAACAGGTGCCCACCTGACTCTACCAGAACAATCCAACAACCCTTTCTGAGCACAACAAAAGTAAAGTAGCGTATTAAACACGAAAGCTACACTTCAAGTAAGAGCTGCTACTGAAACACAAAGGTATTATTTCCAACACTGAGGACTATGACTGCAATTAAATTTAACAAATTTCCTGAGTTTTGATTGCTTCTATTTTATTTCAAATTTTAAAATATGTAGGAATGTTACTACAGAAAAATTATTTGAAAAATTAATTGCTTGTTTAACTATTATTCCATTTTATTTCTTGACTTAATGTTTTGTAAATACTGGAGCTTTTAAGAACATGTTCCTCATCTGAGGCTAAACATGGAAGCCACTGGAGACTGGGATATTTTGTAGAAAATTCTATGGAAAGCTGTCTCTTGAAATGTAATTGTAGATGCTTTGCTCACTGTTCAATTACTAGTTATTGAATCCTGTGATAATCTTCTATGAAATACACATCACAGTTTTAATCACTTTAATTATGGGAAAAAATGCAATTCCAGTTAAGTGGGTGAAAATGTCATTTTATTCACAGAAGTTGTGAAAGCTCAATACTCCAGTTGTTTTCCGCAACATGAAAAATAAATGTCTAGATAAATTATTCTACTTCTGAATAAAGTAAGCCTACACCTTAAAAATTTAACATCAAGTTTACCAAATTCTACAGACTTTTTCTCTTAATTTGTAATTTTTTCCTTCTGCTGAAGCCAAATGAAACTGTTGAGCAACAAAGATTCAGCACATAAAAATATAAAATACAAAAACATCCTCACTTTTTAACCCACTGAGTTGATACTCAAATGCCATCTTACCTGAGTGTATCATTTCTTCAGATCTCTTAGCTACCATGGCACTCTGTTCTGTAAGTCAGCACTTGGTTAATAAATAGAATGTGGTTTTTTGTGGCTGGGTTTTGTTGTGTTTTTTTTCAAATGACTTCTAGATGAGTGATATTATTGATTAAACTATCCCATTTTACTTACCTATTTACATTTTCCCCACAGTTTTATAGTGAGGAAAATATTATCTATCCTGTGGTCCCACAGAATCACTCAAAAGGAATATCCTTGACATTAATCAATCCGCTGCACTATATTTTTATCTTTTTGCCTACTTTCTCATATTTTCTACTTTTTTCAAGACTCCAAACTTATCATGGAGATCATTTGGTTTTGTTCCCAGCCTTACAGCTCTAGAGCTGGCTAGTGGGAAAGTCTTATAAAAGGATCATTTGATTTTTCATAATGAACTGAGAAAATTTTTGAAGGAACATGAATACAGGACAAGAAAGAAATCTGGAGGCATCAGCTTAGTCAATAGCTTATTTTTAAGGAAGCTCTTTGAATGAAGGCCATTAATGATTTACAGATCACAGAAAGATCAGAAGTTCAAATAAGAAGTCTTGTTCTGAGAAACGTGTCTTCAAACCATTTTGCAAATGACAATAATGTGAAAAGCATTTGACAGTAAATGGCCATCCTAAGCAATGCTTTTAAATTTGAGTAAGAAGCTAGAATTCCTTTGCAGCAAAACATCCCAGGAAACGGGAAGCCAAGACAAAATGAAATTCATACTGTACAGAAGAATGCTCAAAGAAAATTGATAAACAGCACAAACATTTAGAGATGCAAAGGCTGCCATTACTCTTAATTTACTCCAACTATCCTCTGGGAGTAGAAGGATATAGCTAATATTTTTTTCTCTAGTGACTGAAAATCTCGCTGAGGTCCACTTGTATAACCAGTACAAAGTTACACATGCATACAG